CCCCCCCCCCCAACTCCCTCTTTCCCACCCAATCCAAGGCGAGGGAAATGACGTGCTTTGCTACCCGCAGTTTAGCTGCTACTGCAAAGCCAGAAATGATCGCTGACTCGTCGTGCAAACTATATGCACCCAAGCCCGCCTTGTGTTGGACTTCCCAAGGCATCCTAAGCTTTTGCCATGAAAAGCTTCCTTGAGTCTCGTCTCTGAGCTTTGCTCACTTCTTTCTTGTTCGTATCGCATCGCATCTTGATACTGTTTGTATCGAAACATAATGACGGCCGTGGACCCCGAGAAAGCTCCCCGCGATGTCGCGACATCGCCAGACACCCTTACGGAGACGCCTTCACACTTCGTCAACGAAGACCGCCTGCGACGGTCCCTCTCAGCACGCCAAGTTCAGATGATCGCAATTGGAGGAACCATAGGAACTGGACTCTTCCTTGGTACCGGCAAGGCCCTCGCGACTGGAGGACCCGCTTCTCTACTCATCTGCTATTCTATCGTTGGCTTTATCGTCTTCTGCACTATGCTGTCTTTGGGGGAGATGGCAGCTTTCGTTCCAGTAGCAGGGTCTTTTTGCACCTTTGCTGGGCGCTACGTCGACGATGCGTTTGGCTTTGCGCTGACCTGGAATTATTGGTTCAACGACGCTGTCAGCACGGCAGCGGATTTGGTTGCGCTCCAGTTGTTGATTCGGTATTGGAGCGATAGTGTGCCCTGGTATGCGCTGGGAATTGCCGTATGGGTGCTTATCGTCCTAGCCAATATCATCAACGTCAAAGCATACGGCGAGCTGGAGTACTGGCTGAGCTTGCTTAAGGTGGTTACCATTATCATTTTCATCATCTTGAGCATTGCAGTAAATGCCGGAGGAAACGATGGCTATGGCTATATCGGAGGGAAATACTGGACTATCGGCGACGCGCCATTCGTGGGAGGCATCGGTGGCTTCGCGTCTGTCTTTGTTACAGCCTCATTCGCATACGGAGGAACCGAGTCGATTGCCATTACTGCGGGAGAGACGCGCGATCCGGCTCGCACCCTGCCAAGAGTAGTGAAGAACGTCTTTTGGCGCATTCTGCTCTTCTATATCCTCACAGCTACCATGATTGGCTTCAACATCCCCTACAACTACCCTGGACTCAGCACAAAGTCCAGCCGCACGTCGCCATTCACGATTGCTTTTCAGATGGCAGGATCAAAGGCCGCAGGCTCGTTCGTCAACGCCGTGATCCTTACTAGCGTTATTTCTGCTGGAAACCACGCCCTCTACGCCGGATCGAGATTGCTCTACACCCTCGGCTCCAACGGCCATGCACCCAAAGTCTTCACCAAGTTGACGCGCTACCAAGTTCCATGGGTATCGGTCATGACGACGAGCATCGTGTCAATTGTACTCTTCTCCCTCTCATTTGCTGGATCCGGCCAAGTATGGACATGGTTGCAAAATATTGTCGGCGTCTCCAACCAATTGAGCTGGATATGCATCGGCATCGCGTCTCTCCGCTTCCGCGCCGGTCTCAAAGCCCAGGGCAAAGAGCACCTTCTTCCTTTCCGCAACTGGATGTACCCATGGGGCCCCATTATCTGCATCGTTCTCAACACCTTTATCGTCTTGGTCCAAGGCTGGACAGCTTTCAGTCCCAGCTTTGCCTCTGTAGACTTTGTCAGCTTCTATCTTGAGCTACCAGTCTTCTTTGTAATGATTGTGGCATGGAAGCTTATCAAAAAGACCAAGTTCAGGAAAGCAAGCGAGATGGATCTGGAGACGGATGTGTATACGAAGGATGATATGGAGCCGGAGGAGAAAGGATGGAAAGGAACGGGCAAGAGGGTAGCCACGTGGTTTTGCTTCTAGGTATATCTCTTTACCACATGAGAATTTTGGTCAGTAGCATGGTGGGAAAAATAATGTTTTACGCCCAACATCAACAAGGTTTTTTATCCAGGTGAAGACGCATCTCACTGTGCTTGGAAGTTCTTTCTCTACCACTCTTGGGGGCTCGAAAGCACCGATTTACGGTATGTGAAGCGCATTCTGTAAGTTGTTGCTCGCTTGTTTACCAAGGCAATTGCTCTTACCTCGAAGAATAGTCAACAACGCGGGCGAGACGTCATGCCAAGCGCTTCTCGAGAGCAGTCGCCGCAAGTATATGATCCCGCATCCCAGGTCTACTCTCTTCTTTTCTTCACCAACATCCTTTATCTCAGTATAAGTAAGTTTGTGCCCAATCACTGCATCTATCCCGCGTCTCACCATAACCACCTGTTACTCCATCGTTCCCTAGTCCCATATCACTCCTCCTTCTCCTACCACCTTTCCTCAGCCTTTGCCCTTCAAGAAAATCGACATAGTTTGACGATTTGAACACTAACGTTTTGTAGTTATGCCACGTTCTTTTGGAGTTTTTTTTTCCGTTCACCGGTGGTGATGGGGCAAGCACGGTAAGCATTCCCTCTTCCATTTCTCTTCCAGAGGTATACGCCTCTATTATTGGCCATGGCTAACCTATGTTCAATGATATAGCTTTGTCCGGGGATTCCGGACTGTCGGTGCACTCCGGAACAGGGAGTAGGGAGGAGACCCCCGCGGTGGTCAACGCCTATTTGCAAGGTTCTCGGGGCCCTTGGCGGCGGTCGGTACTTGGGTGGTGACGAAAGTCATCGAAACCTAGGAGGAGGAACTCAAGTCCGCCGTCCGTCAGGCTACCCGGGACTTTCGCACTTGGGCCATGGCTCAATTGGCCGCTTTGGCGTACTCCTGTATGTTCGCCAATCAACTTTGTGGAAATATACTAATTCTTGTCACAGTGTACGTCCGAACCGGCCAATGGGCCATGCCAGACACCGATCCCTTCTCTGACCCCTGAACTGGAGTCCCGACTGCGTCGCTTCGTCCCCACACGCCGGTGAACATTATTACTAGTCAGTAGGAATTTTTTCAAAAAAAAAATTAAAATAAAAAACCCTATCTAGGGCGGAGGGGTGGGAAAAAAATCCCCCAAAACTGGCTGCAGAGATGGAGGGAGTGGCACTGGAAGGGATCATCATTCGCCGTCGACCATTCTCTCTTTCGCCGTCGAGCTCATCACCGAGCTTATCCGCCATGGTTGCCGCCTAGACGCCTCACACACCCTCGCCTTCTCGCCTACACGATCAACATGGCTGCCAGGCGGGCCACCAAAGGGTGTCTTTGGAGGTATTGAAGGACTGGTGCTGGTCGGTAGTAGGATCGGAGGACTGTTGCTGGTCGGTGATGGAACATAGATGTGTATTGACTTGGGAGGGGCCGAGGGTACATGGGACATGTTGGGTCTGCGGTGTGCTACTGGCCAGGGATGAACGATGACGCTCCTCATCTCATGGACACTTCCATTCCAAAACCTATTTGGCCTGCAAATCCTGCAGAATACAAAAAAGCCATGCACTGGCGGTAGATGTTGGGGCTGAGGTACCCAAGACCGTGACGGAGGTAGCTTCACCTGCCAGCACCCAGACCACCCCCATGGAGACTCCCTTCTCCTAGACGCTCTCATTCCATGGAAGCTCCTAGTATTCCTCACAAACAATCTTTCCCATGAGAGTTCCCTCTTGTGGATATTTCTCACGTCCATTGCTTCAATGGAAGATCCTTGGGGTGGCTACACTGGGTTTCTTTGCAGTTCACACAAAGCATAAACAGCATCACCGTCAACAGTATCATCGTCAACACTGGCACCAATATGCGACGCTAGAAGGTCAACATGGTTGGATGTTCAGATTTTTGGAGATCTACGCGTGTTTGCATTTCGGTCTTACGTCTACGTTCATGTATATATGTATGATTGCTTGGTACCAATAGATACTTGTGTAGAACGTATGTGTTCACTGAATTTGCTGAGTGATCACACGTCACTATGCTCAGCGACCACGCAAAAGTTGCGTACTTAGAGTTACCTCGCAACTACATTATTGTGTAGAGATTCATATAAAAGCAAATGTTTATGAAGCTTCATAGGCAATGACTTGGAACATTTATTAGCACCTCTTCCGCTGCTCAAAACCAGGACCATTCAGTCCCTTGGTGGCCAACAATGCGATATTTGACATGCCTGTCAGGGCATTGGTCGGGCAATATCGAACCATGGATGCTCCGACCCTGAAGCGAGAATTTGCTAATAAATTGAAGCAGAGTGAGCTGTAGCAGTTTGGTCCTATCGAACCGGCCATGTTCAACCACGTATCTGTGCCAAGTGTGCTCCATTCATTATTGCCAATATGCAGAATGACTGTTGTGTTCCTTCCCTTATAACTTCAATATCCCTTACATCACTCATCGCACCTCGTCTGCACATTCTACAGTCACATCCTCACTGATCATCTTAGCACTGCTATTCAAGAATGTCATGCCTCTGGCTTTGAACTCCGTCCGGACAACAAGCCATGTCTCGGTCCTGCGCAACGCAACTCCTCTCTTCATAGGGGCATCACGACTCCATCGAACAACTCTTTTCCAGCAGAGCTTACGGGTCTTCCCAAGATTTATCCAAAAAGCAGTGTCGAAAGCGATGACCCCAGTTGTAGCGCCAAAAGCGGTGCCTACGGTATTCGTATCTAAACTGATTGACGCCGAAACACGACAACGGCACCGCATCAAGCGAATGGCTGCCCAGCGAATATACCAGCAAAACGCAAGAAGACTGGCTGCAAAAATCTACAATGCCGGTCCGTTCTTGTATTACGGCCATACCGGCAGTAACTACTATGACTATGATCCCGGCAAGAGCAATAGTAACCCATTTTCACAGATTCTGCGCGCGTGTATCCAAGGATTTTGGTAAGCATTTTGGTTAGGGGGTTTTGATTCTTTCTCTGATGTTGTTCATGGCAGGTAAGTACTTACTTACCTCGGAATATCCTAATCTGCGGATATGCGCGAGAGAGAGAGAAAAAGGGGTTGTTTTGGAGCTAACGATGAGAAACGTAATTTAGAATACCACTGGGTGAAGCTGGGCAGGAAGAGGAAGACGAGGGTGAAAACGAAGAGATTAGGAAGTTGGAAGAGGAAAATGATGAGTCGAGGGGTGAGGTTGGGAGGTTGAGGAAGGAGAATAGCGAGTTGAAGGGGCAAAGTGGTGAGTTTGTTTCGTTTCCTTGTTTTCTTTTGGAGAAGAGAATGGTTGTCTAGAGTGGTTTTGCTAACGAGATGGTTTAGAGGAGGAGTTTGAGGATGAAGAGTTTGATCGGCTTGTAAATGGTTGAGAGCATGATGCCTCTTCGGATGCTTTCATAGGGAATGATGCTGAGCGTTTCTCTGAACAGCATTTCAAAGCATTTTTACATGGCGAATATTATTGCTCCCGTTGTTCGCTTTTGCACATTATTAGCAATACCTCGAGGATGTGGTATGATTAGTCTCGATATCCTTTGATGTCTTTTCTTCTGCTATGAAGAACAATCGGAAGTCCCTCGGAGATTTGGAGTCGTTTCCCAATGCTTAAATACGAACTGAGATCACTGCTCTAAATCAGTCCCTTACATAATCGTGAGATTGATAACTAGATGGAGGCTAGTGGCTTTCTCTCCTCTCTCCCTGCATTACGGAGGTTGATGAAGCAGGCCTGGTCCATAGATAGCCCAGTCATGTTACCTAGCTCAGCCGCTAAATTGGAACGTGATAATATACTATACATGTTTCAAGTTTTCGACATTTTACAAAGAGTTGTAAACTTGCTGCTTTGGCGTCCGCCGGCGTATCGGAAATGAAATGTCAGACCTCACAAACGATAATTTCATCTAGCGCTTATACTACAACAAGATGTGACTTATTACTGTCAGCAAGATGCAGACCAGTTCCTCATCCGTTCTCACTGGCCACTCGTCGCTCTTTCCCCTTTTTTCTTTCTGGAAAAAGATATAAGCACGCTCGCTTTCATCATTAAAGGCTCCTGTACTTCTATCCCCGCCATCCAACACTAACCCTTGCGAGACACCATCTACCAAATACAGCCACAAAGAGCCATCAACATAGCTAAATCTACCATCAACATGCGTTATTCGGTTTCTATTGTGATTCTTGCTACCATTATGACGGGCGTCGGACTATGCAGTCCACAGGGACATATATCATATGGCAATCTCCCTAGACCACGCCCGCCGCCGCCGCAAGGATACCAGTCCAAATGTTATCCTGGTACATGTGTTCTTGTGTGTTCTTCATAGTTTACTCAAATGGAAGATAATAGTTGGTTGGCTAATCTCGTTGTAGGGTTGCGATACTAGCAGCCATAATTATGGTACCTGCTGCTGGGGGAAGATTAATCAGGATCCTAATGATAGCCTCAAGTTCGATAGAAAGTATGGATGTTGGCCTTCTGGCAGTTGTGCGGATGATTGTTAGTAGGGTGTCTACTTGGTTGGACTCGGACTTGTTGTGTCCAATTGGATTGTTCAAGTGCCGCATGCTTGGCTGCATGCTTGAGTCAAAAACTGATTGGATCTATCCTTTGTATCTACTGGGTACCATCTCTATAATAACTTTTTGGTAAAGCTACTCGATTGCATTTCTTCAAACATTAGGGTTATTGTTGGTGAGGGCATTAGCCCTGTTGTGACTATCCAGTACGTATAGCGAAGGCAGAATCGGGCCAAGCTCCTTATCGATAAAAAATTGGCGCATCTCCAAAATTTCGGCGCGACATCTTCCAACCAAACCAATTACCATCACCCAACATGCCCAAACGAAAGCGCTCTTCACCCACTCCCGCGATTGAGTCGGTTTCCAGATCAACACCTGCCAAATGCGCCAAAATCTGTGAGAAGCGTCTCGCTGATGCGGAAAAGCCTTTGCTTCAAGCACTGCGCCATGCCTCCATGCTCGAGCGCCAGAAGCACAGTCGCAGAAAGAAATACGCGGTGAATAAGAACCAAACCAATACCATTCATCGCCTGAACTCTGAGTATGAAACTCTAAAGGCGCTCAACTTGGAACAAGTGGGTGATCAACATTTGCGCAAGACGCTCGCAAGGGTCAAGAGCTTGAAGGATGCCGAGCCGTTACAGGAATACATTGCGGGGATACGAGAGGGAAATAAGGATGCGAACACGCTTAATGTTACGGCACGGCTTTTCAAGGTCAAGCAGGTGAAGAATGTGGTAGACCGTGTGGTCGAGGATTTGAAGGGCATACTTGGAGTCGCCAAGGGCAAGGAAGATGCGAAGGAAGAAGCTGGTGGAAAGAAGGCGCAAGAGAACAAAGTGTCGAAAGACAAGGAGACTGCGAAGGAGGATGTTGATATGAAGGACGCGAGCGACGAGGGAGATGATCCATACATGGCGTTCAGCGCACGGATAGCAGAGCCTTCGTCAGGCGAAGACGAGAGTGAAGCTTCTGTGACGGACGAAGAGCGGCCTGCAAGTATCGTGGACAGCGACAGCGAACACGATCCTGATTCTGACCTCGACGCTGACAGTGAGAGCGAAAGTGAAGAGTTGGGTGAGGTTGAGGAAGTCAACGGCGCGAGCGGTGCGAACGACGAATTACTATCGAATGAGGACTTTGAGGATTCAGACTCTGAAGGTACAAACTCCGGGTCCGACTCTGACTCCGACTCAGCCGCCATACCCACCAAAAAGATCAAGACCAAGGTCATTGAAGAGAAGCCAACGACCTCTGCATTCATTCCCGCCCTCAGCCATGCCGCCTACTTCTCTGGCTCTGAATCAGAAGCCTCAGACCTTGATGTGGACGTTGTCCCACGAAAGAATCGCCGGGGCCAACGCGCCCGTCAAAAGATTGCAGAACTCAAATACGGACAAAAAGCAAAACATCTCGAAAAGGCACAGCGCAGTGCCACCTTCGATCCTAAGCGTGGCGCAGTGAGCGGTACGGACAAGCGTCAAAGACGAGGAAAGCCACTCGGCCATGGACCGCAGCAGAGTGGAGGTAATGCAGAGCCTTTGGGCGAGAGAAGCGACAAAAAGGATAGGAAGATTGGCGTTGGCGCGAAGAGGGATGACAAGGGCGAGCTGCATCCTTCCTGGCAGGCAGCCAAGATGGCCAAGGAGAGCAAGAAGCTCAAGATCGATCTTAGCGGGGCCAAGCCGGCAGGAAAGAAGGTTGTTTTCGATTGAGATACCCAGAGGAGCCCATGCAAAGTTTTCTTTATCAATTGGTCATAGCCACTCTCGCAGCGGGTACATGGTCTATGTAGGATGTGAAGTTTCCTTACTGGTAGCAGCCTTTTCGATGGTACGATAATGATGGAAGTGGAATGTCTGACTTTGTCGAAACCATCGTGTGGTCAATGTTCGATTGCCTATTGCCTGCAGCTAGGCCTGGCGATCTTGCTGAGCTTACTGTGTACAGCCGACAGATCGCCTGCCGCAGCCCCGCTCCGTTGCGGCCGTTCCCACCTGTTCTTACCTGGGGAAAAGTGCTTGTAGCGCAGGGTAGATCATCGCTGTCTGCTGGATAAGTGTTCCTGACCACGTGCAAAGCAGTCTGCATCCTTGAAATCCAACAATCAGGAGAATGGCTCTCGTGGTCCCCCCTTTTCTTGGTAGATGAGCCGGCAGATCCGAAGAACGAAGACAGGTGGCCTTTGAGCGCGTTTAGACTGATTGTCTTTAAACAAGCAATGACATCTTTCTTGTTGCCGACGACGTATCCGTAGTATCTGTCCGTTGGTCTGCGCATCGCGGTATTAATCTCATCGAGAGCGTGGCGCAGCACAACAGTATAGCATGAGCCAATAGCCCCTGAGCTACGCCTCAAAAGTCTCGCCACGGTGGGGCCGAGGATCACAATATGCGGAAAAAGGGAGCATCCGCCGCGCCAAGAAAAGCTTACAGAAGCTTGGCTCGGTATATTTTGCTATGCCAACTCAGAGATGCCATGTTGTCAACAACTTATTCGAGGAAAACAATGGGTCTTTGATGTTTGATACCTACCAGTGTTTGCAACTACTGTAACTGGATTTCACTGGGCATCACAGAGTTTGTTTCGGACCGCCAGTACTGTGTGGCTGCTCGGTCCAAACTCCGGGCGTAGCGACACCGCCTCACCGAGATTACGCCACGTTTCACACTGAGGCTTGTACGCTGGGGCGTATGGATCTTTTGAAGGGGGAGGGGGTCTTGGACAGACTAAGCTGCAGGTGCCATTGCATCCGAGATCGGGTTGGGATGGATTAAATGCCGCGTTTCCCTCAAGTACTAATACCTTGTCCACAGACACTTGACGTTTCTCATTCTTTCAATCCACTCCACCCAACCTACACTTGCATTTGCACCTTCTTCCTCTCACCACACATATCCAACCCCCCACATTCACACAATGGGTTTCCTCAGTGAATTGATGTCAGAATTCAAGGGCTCCAAGAGCGGCGGCGAACAGCAACAGCAACAACAATCCGGATACTCCGGATATCCCCCACAGGAACAGTATGGTGGCTATCAGCAACAGCAGCAGGGCTACCCACCACAACAGCAAGGTTATCCCCCACAACAGGGTTACCCACCACAGCAACAGGGTTACCCGCCACCACAGCAGTCTTCCGGAGGACCACCACCGGTTTCCCCTCCATGGTACGCAGAGTGGGATGGACGGGAGAACCGCTGGGTCTTTGTGAACCAGCAAAACGGTGAACGCACATACAACTACCCTGGCCCCGGCTTTGCACAACAGCAAGGTAGCTACGGTGCCCCACCACCACAAGGAGGATACGGCTACGGCCAAGGCGGCTACAGCAATCAGGGTGCATCCAACCAGAGCGCCTATGACCCTACACGTGGCTCTGCTCCAGAGGAGAAGAAGAGCGGAGGCAATGGCTGGAAGTACGCCGCAGCGGGTGCCGCTGGACTTGCAGGTGGAGCCCTACTAATGCACGAGAGCGATAAAATTGGTAAGAATTCCACTCTCTCTTTCTTTTCCCACCACCGCACTTCGCCCAAATAGAAACGATCCCCGCTAACGAATTTTCAAACAGGCGAGAAAATGGACGAAGCCAAAGAGGGCATCGAAAACGCCCCCGAAAACGTCGCCCATTGGACTGGCGAACAAGCCGGCCGCGTCGAGAACTTCGGCGACGACGTCGAACAGAAATGGGACAATGGTGTTCAGAACGTCGAAGATTTCCCCGAGAACGCAGCCAGGTGGACGGGTGAGAAGGTCCAGGAGGTTGAGGACATCCCAGAGGATATTGAGAACAAGTGGGATAATACGGTTGGTGGTGTAGAGAGGTTTGGGGATAACATGGAGGATGCCTATGATGAGGGAAGGGAGGAGCGAAGGTATGAGGATGATGATTACTAGAGTGGGGATGAGGGATTGAAGAAATTTGAGAGTTGGATCAGATACCAGTAACAGTTTTGTTTATTTCTATGAATGACTTGATTGCATTTCTTCTCATTGTGATAATTCAATGAGTGATTGAACTTCAGTTGATAAATTATGTGGGGGAAAACGAAGGCGGAAATGCCATGATGCTGTTGGCGAGAAACCACGTGTATGTATTTTTAGTATCTGACATGTGATAAGGGTCCTTGGGATGGCGCGTCCCTGTGATGTCACAGCTGCTGACCATACGATGCGTTTTAGAGCAAACCATACTTTTAGCTATATTGATATGAAAAGACCGCTCAAGATAAACTGGCTTTGGTGTACTATCTTATTTCCCATTTCTTACTGACAATCGAAAAAAAAATCCTGATTACATTGGTAAAGGTGTATATTTGCATAACGTTCACCATTGACTTATTCCATTTTGACCACGACTATGGCAGCAGCAGCAGTGAAGTATTCCGCCGTTTCCAAACCCCATTGAAGTCGCCAGTTTTCCTTAAAAGATCTCGCAATCTTTTTTATCTTCGATACATCCATGAAGCAACTCTCCACGCGCACACATACACACACACATTCCGAACATTAAAACACTAAAGTATCAAACATACGTACATCTCCCCCAAAACACCATGGGCATCTCCAAGAAATCCCCTGTTCCTCCACCTCTCTACCTCCGTATATCCTTCCCCCCTCCTGCTAAAAAAAAGAATCCCCTCTTCTAACACATTCTAAACAGAGGGCGACTCAAACTCCCTAAACTGCTACCTCTCCCCTAACCCAAGCGCCACACAACCCTCCATCCGCAACATGCCCTGGGCCCGCACCTCCCGCAGAAACCCCCCACCAACCCAGCACAGAACAAACTACAATTACAACCGCAGCGCACCCCCACAGTCCAACACCATCCGAAGCAACGCCAGCACCGCGCCACACGGTAGTTCCGTCCATGGAAGAACAGCAACTAACAGATACGCCGGATCCCAACACGGCAGGTCCGCTTACCAACCTTCCAACCACGGAAGAACAGCAGCAGCAGCAGCATCAACCAGATATGCCGGATCAGCCCCAGCAACCAACCCCAGCGGGACACGCCCATCGCAGTCCCGGAGCTACGCTGGCACGGTAGCTTCGCGAGCGTACAACCAGCGTCCTCCGTTTAGCCAGGGAGCCCGTACCGCTGCATCGACGCAACATCAGACTGCTATTGTGAACCAGACTCGTGGCCAGGGTAGTGCTAGTGCTGCTGGTGGGCGGAGTAGAGCGGAGACAGTGGTGCAAGGGCGAGGGGCGGATAGAGGACGGTCTGTTGTTCCGGCTTCGAATGCTGGGCGTGCTGGAGTGCAAGGGGGAGCGGGGGAGCCTGGGGTGGTCGGGTATTCGTATGAGAGTATGCAGGCTGGAGGGCGGAGAGGGAGTAGGTGGGGTAGATTTAGGATGTTTGTGTGGCGTGGGGGCTCTAGGAGGTAAGGAGGATTGATGGGGTTGGAAGGGGGGGATGGTGAAGATGGTATACTGAGATTTTGGTTAATTTGGAAAATGTATCTGAAAGGCTTTTGGTTAGACTCTTGAATGGGGCATATGTACAATGGCTGTATAGATAGTTTTGTTTCTTACGCGTCCGGTTTCATGGTATGTATAATCTACCCGTTCTATTCTTTACAAATACAGTCACTACCGGTAGTGATGGTCTATCATAGTACAAAACGACAATTCATCCTGTCCTCTAGAAGAAACTTTTCAAACCATCCTTGCGCCTCAAAGTTACATGCAGGAAGATATACACAACAACACCAAAACCCAGCATTCCCGAGATAACGCCAAAGCCCATGAGATATTTTGGTTTGTCATCATCCGGGAAAAGGTATGCGCCGTAGATTTGCGCCAGATTTCCAAGCGCATTGACAAGCGCGATAGCAATAGCCCTGACTTCAGGCTCCATGGATCCAAATGTTGCACTGGCGTACGATAGGGAAACGGCGTTGGATGACCACAGACCGGCAGCCATGAGGACGAGGAGGACATAACGTGCTGTGAAGTTGTAAATCACACAGACCAGGATAGAGGTTATGAGCGAAAATGTGAGCCAGCATGCAATGACTAGGCCACGGTGCATAGAGATAGAGTCGGCAAAGTATGTCGTTACTGCAGTGCAGACGAATGCGACGGCATAGATGGGAACAGTCATGTACTGTGCGGTGACAGTGTCTTTGTAGCCGAGGCCGTTGACCAGCGTGGGGTAGAAGTAGGAAAGGGTGGAAGAGCCGACAATGACCTTGAAGGTATTAGTTATGCGGTTTTGATAAACACGACAGACTACTCACCATATAACCGAGGACAAGTCCGATAGTCCTCCAGTCCATGATTGCAAGGCGGAAGGACTTTAGCTTGCCGATTCTTACGTCGCCACTCACGTATGTCTGGATACCACTTCCTCGGAGACGTGCAGTAGCGATGAGTCGCTCGCGATCAGTCAACCGCTTGGTATTCGCTGGAAAGTCCAAAAGGAGGAAAGAGGCTATTCCAGCCCAGACGATAGTTGCAGCTCCTTCAATGATGAACAGCCAACGCCAGCTACACGGAGATGAATCAGTATGTTGAAAGGGCTGAAATCCTGAGATCTTCATTGAAAATCCACTTACCCTCGTAAACCACCAGTTCCCTCCATACCTCCAGTGATAGCACCGGCAAGGAGACCTCCAAAGGCGCCGCTGAGAATGGCGGCCGACATGTACACACCAAAGCGTTTCGACTGCTCGTCCTTCTTGTACCAGGACGAGATGATGAGGATGATACCAGGAGCGAAGCCACTTTCGAAGACACCAACAAAGATACGAAGCAGAACGAGATGCTTAAAATCGTGGATAGTACCCATAACACAAGTCAAGGCACCCCAGATGGCCATGATGACGGGAAGATATACGGAAGGCTTCAGTCGGACCAAGAGCATATTTGAAGGCGGTTCAAAGGCGACATATGTAACAAAGAAGACAACTAGAGCAATTGAGTACTGATTGGAAGTCAGACCCAGATCAGTGGCCATGCCAGCAATTTTTGCGTTGCCAATACTGGTACTTGATCAATTTTTGCAACTTCAATTCTTCGGCAGCAGCTTACTTTGTGCGGTCCATATAGGACAACAGATACATCAACCACATGGTTGGAAGCAGGAAAGAATCAATTTTCTTTACCAACTGCTTCTCTTCCTCGGGCGTCCAAGTAAAGTCCTCAGATACCTCAATCTGTTTTGTTGTATCCATATCTTTGATGTCGCTGGCTTCGAACGAATGTCGTGTTGACGACATGGTGTCTTGGCGTAAAAAAGCAAGTGTCTACACAAAAAACCCAAGCATGCGGTACGCTTTGCAGGGGATAAAAAGGTACCTTCTACGACTTTCTAGAGACAGTCGCAAAGATATCCTTGCTATTGTGAGACAGCTTAAAGCTTTATAGAACTTCTCTGCAAAGTTGTTTTATTGTCTTTTCAAGATTTGGTGGTGACTGCCCAGGAATGCCTGGGTGGTATCGATCCCCAGAGTGGATCGGCCCTTTTCCGCCTACCCCAGGTCTTAGAACATTAGCCGAGATTACTCAATGCGGTGCTGCTGGGCTGATGCAGTGGTGGCAACGATTGGCCGCCGCTATCCACAGAACTGCATGCAGAAAAGTACGGCTCGATGCGAGAGTGTGTCAATAAGCGAGAGCTCGCCGGCGAGGACCAAATCAGCGTCTGCCGGCTGGATGTACATGCATTCGCCACGAATTCGTTCTGGCGTTGGTTCACTGTCGGGTGGATTTCCGGTACGGTGACAATACGCGCCGCTCTTTTCCAAGGATCCTCGGTAGCGAAGTAAAAGATTGTCTTGCCACGAGCTGGTGTGGGGTTAAGGAAATGTGGTGGTGTACTTAAACATGCGGGGAGCCTGTGAAGTAGTCGTTCAGCCATCCACCGGTTTAAGTATCTCAGCTCCCTCGCTGTACCTTCCATATATCATTAGACTTCCTCAAGCAGCTTGTTTTTAACCGCATTCCACTCATGTCTCCTTCTGCAATCATGCCGCAGGCAGACCAGACGGCGCCTCCCAATGGTCACGTCAATGGCACCCAAGTCGAGCAGAGCGTGCCGAACCCCGTCTACCTAACCACTGAGCCAAAGGAGGATTTTGACTGGAAAATCACTCTCAGGGGCAAAGTGATCGCCATCACTGGCGCAAACAGAGGTTGGTCGACCCCTCTCGGGCGCTCGGGAGCGACACTAATGGGCACTTACAGGCATTGGTCTGGGACTTGCAACGGTGTGCCTTGCAAACGACGCGGCAGAGATATATTCGCTCGACCTCTTTGAACCGGGCGAGGATTTCCAGGCGCTTCAAAAGGCGAACCCGAAGCGAGTGCACTACCTGCACTGCGATGTCACGTCTGAGGAAAGCGTCAACAAGGCGGTTGACCAGATTGTAGCTGAGTCGGGCCGCATAGATGGCATGATTGCCAACGCGGGAATGACCAAGCATCAGCCAGCGCTCAACTTTGACCGCCCTCAGCTGGAGCAGCTGTTCAATCTCAACGTGTTCGGCGCTTACTTTTGCGCGACGGCAGCCGCGAAAAAGTTCATTGAGCTGGGCATAAAGGGGTCGATTGTCTTCACTGCATCCATGACCTCGTACCGGCCAAACAGGGCAGCACCGTCGGCGCCATATGGAGGGACCAAGGGCGCTGTTCGCAACATGGCGCACACGCTAGCCATGGAGTGGGCGAAGCATGGGATTCGTGTCAATTCCATTTCGCCCGGTTTCGTGCGAACGCAGATGACGTACTATGTTGAGAAGGCGCCTGACTGGAATCTGAAGATGCAATATTATGGCGGCATGCCGAGACTGGCTGATCCTCGCGAACTTGGCGGAGCCTACGTATATCTGCTCTCCGACGGAGCCAGTTATACGACCGGCATTGACATTCCCGTGGCAGGCATTGTCGGCGCATGGTAGTGAGTAGAGGTGACTGTGGCTGTTCATTTGTACGCGTTTCGTTTGTTTCACGATAATACTGCATTGGGCGGAGTCTGTGTGATGATAGATGACCATCGGCCTGTTGGCCGTGATGATGAATGAATTTCCATTGGGTTTTCTGCAGAGAGAATATGTGTGTGTGTGTGTGTGTG